CCGGTGGCTGCTGCTAAGGAGACGGTAAGTGCGCCCCTAAGCAGGTGACGCCAGAGCGCTGGGCTGCCAGGTGTCCCGCCTGCTCCGGGAGGGCTCGGGCGGGGGTCACGGTGGTGACACCCTTGACACTGAAGGTTGTGGAGCACTGTGAACTCTTTAACTGCTAGGGGGCAACCTCCACCGAGCGACACGGATCGACGCCAGGCGTCCCCGTTCACAGGGATGCTGGGCGGATGTGGATGATGCTGTCATTGATGCATCAGGAGGACCGTAGAGGTTGCTGCAGCGAGCAGCGAGCAACCAGATAGCAAACTAGACACCCCGCTCACCACACACGAGAGTCACAAGTAAAGGACTTGACGGACATAAAGACGAAGAACAAATGGAGGGGCGCGCGAGTCAGAGAACGAACGAGACTGACTGGGCGAGGCTAGAGAGAATGATATGAGAAGCAAGTGCAGGCCGAGTTTTGAAGTGTGCCTTTAGATCAAAACCTGCCGCCTTACTGTATGGAAACCCCAAGAAAGATGTTGCCAAGCTGGAAAAAGAAAGGGGAAATTGTTCAAAAGTAGTCCATTTCTCTCTTTCATTAAAACCTGAATCCCTGAAGTCGGTGGCAAAACAAACCAGAACGAAGGACAGGAAAGGTGGTAAACTATGAGTGAAGCCAACTCCTGCAGAAGCACCACATGAAAATGTTGGACTGTAATGTAGTTTGTGATATAAGGTGAGGCAAGAGTAAGGGCTGTGGTGCTTTTTGTCACAGCTGTGTATTTGATTGTCACGTAAATGACTTAGAAAATTGGCCTAGAGAATATTTCCACTCCGAGGCTAAAAGAATAGAAGACTAGGTTAGGTGAAAATAATTTAGGAAAATGGCATCTATGCCCTTACTAACCTTATTAAAATTTTATATTGTTTATGCTGTTTGTAAGTACACAGTAGTGTTCAGATACAAGGATAGAACTCTCTTTTTGTATGTTTTGGGTGAAGGTTGGCTGTGCATTCAGGTTAGGGAATCTACGCCAAGCACCTTCGTTTAGTGCTATATCATAAATGCACCGTGTAAAGTACTTTTACCCAAAAAAGAAATAATAAGATACTGGCAAACACTCTCAACCTTCAGTCCCCCACATACATGTGCTATTTTGTGCCTTAGGAGAATAGCATGACATTTGTGTCTTGATTTATCATGCAAGAACTTTATCAACTGTAGTTGGTCTGGAAACATTAACATGGTAGAGAACATGTAAATAGTGTTTTCTTTCCTTTTTTTTAAAACTTGACTTTATCTTTAGATTTGAGAGACCTCGTCACAAAGTTACATGACTATGCTCAGAAAGCTAGACATCTGACTTGGACACTTACTAGTGGTGCCATTATAGATTAAGTATATATGTCTCAGTGCCTGTTCCTTCATCTGCAAAAGAGGCTGACAGGCTCAAAGGGTGCTATGGGGATTAAATAAGTTAATATACTTGGAACAGAATGGAACACCTGGTGTGTAGTAAGTAGTTAGTAAATTTATTTTGCCTTTGTTCATATTTCATGGTTTTTGGTTTTTTTGTTTTTGTTTTTGTTTTTTTAATGTTACTAGTGATCAAGTCCAGGGCATCATGAATGCCACACCAGTGCTCTACCACTAAATAATCTCCTTAGTTCCTTTATTATCTGTATTTATTTACTTACATTATTATTCCTTCATTTGTATACAATTTTCTGTGTATTGCTTTAGAAGTAAAATGATTAAATTAAAGTCCTTTGTCTTACCCTTGCCAGAGTCTCTGACTCAACATTATAGTTGTCACACCTTTTTTGTGTGATATTTTTTCCTTCTGTAAAACATGTTATTATCTTTTTATTATTTCAATATTGGAATTTTCACCATAATGAGCTTTGGCTTGAACATTTTTTTTCATTGCTTGTGCTAGATACTTAAAGGCCTTTCATTATGGAAATTCATGTTTGAAAGTCTCTGGTAATGTTTCTTATACCATTTCAGTTCTTTTTCTTTTCTGGAACTGCTATGGGTCTGAGTTAATCCTAACTGAATTCTAATGCTAATTTAATTTTTAAAAAAAGAAAAGAAAAAGCATACACAGAGCATTATAACCAGCCTTCAGCATGACTACAAAGATACACTCAATTTTCGAAATCTAGGTTTGGCATACAACCTGAAAGAAGTATTTGTTCTGCAAAATCCTGCCAGATTTGGGGTTTGTGTTAGTTACCTCTTAGTTGTTGTGATGGGCCACCTGACAGAGGCAACTGAAGGAAGCAAAGTCTCGTCTTGGCTCACAGTGTCATGGAGCAGATCTTCATGGTGGAGAAGTTTTGGCAACAGAAATGTGAGGTAGCTGGTCATACTGCAGCCACAATCAGGAAGTGGAGAGAGATGAAGGCTCCTGCTCAGCTCACTGATTTTTATTCAGTCCAGTGCATGGAATGGTGTCATCCACAGTTGGGGTGGGTTTTTTCCACACCAGTTATCCAGTCTAGAAACTCCCTAGTGGACATGCTTAGAGGTTTGTCTCCTAGGTGATTTTAGATCCTGTCAAGTTGACAACCAATATTAATCACCACAGGGTGGGTTGTTTTAAGAAAAATGTAGCCACCCTTTTAGACATTGATTATATAATTTATCTTTAATAATTTTAAAGAAATGAATGATACTCTACCTAAAGGTTAAAGTGGACAATTGGAGTCATAAAACAATTATGTTAGCTGGGCGTTGGTGGCACACGCCTTTAATCCCAGCACTTGGGAGGCAGAGGCAGGAGGATCTCTGTGAGTTCGAGGCCAGCCTGGTCTGCAAGAACTAGTTCCAGGATAGTCTCCAAAGCTATGGAGAAACCCTGCCTCGAAAAACCATAAAAAAAAAAAAAACAAAAAAAAAAAACCAATTACGTTAACCCTATACCTTGTTTCATTTATGTATTTATGTGTCATGTATTGACATATATATACACAAATATATATATATGTCATATATATATATTTGTGTATATATATTTCAGTTTGAATATGAAATATCCTTAGCAGCCTCATTTGTTTGAATGGTTGGTCCCCAGCTGGAAGCATTATTTGGGAAGGTTATAGAATCTGTGGGAGGTAGAGCCTTGCTGGAGGAAATATGTCTCCTGGACAGGCTTTGAGTTTTGTAAGCTGGCCCTACTATCTGTTCTCCCTCTACTTACTGTGAGCAAATGAAGTGTGATCACCCTTCTTCCTGCTAGATTAGCCTGCTGCTTCTGCTACATGCCTTTCCCACAGTGATGGACTGTAACCTCTTTGGAGCCTTAAGCCTAATTAGCCCCCTTTCTCCTCTAAGTTGCTTTTTGTCAAAGTGCCCCATCACAGAAAAGTAACTCACACACATGCTTTGTAGAAAGATTAAATTGAGTTAATTTATCATCTTTATAGACTTTTCTTCTTTCACTTTTAATTTATTAAGCTAAGGCAAACATTTCAAGAAGAAACAACGTCCAGTTTCTATCTCCGTTTGAGGTTACACTATCCTAAATCACTTCTTTGGAAAATTCAAATCATTTTTTTTTTTTTCCTGTATCTAACAAACACCCAGCACCACCGTTGGAAAGCACAGAGTGTGGAAATTTCATGCTGATGTGTAAGTCAGGTTTTACCAGTAGATGAGAGACAGCTACTATTTGGCCTGTAGTCATTCTTGCTGACCCTCACCTCCAGATGTAGCAATATTTAAAGGAATATTCTAAAAATAAAATGTTGTGATTAGTGATGAACATGAAATGGTAAATTACATTATAACCCTGGGTAATCTTACAAAAAAGGATCTTGAGCCTGGCGGTGGTGGTGCACAACTTTGATCCCAGCACTTGGGAGGCAAAGACAAGTGGATCTATGTGAGTTCGAGGCCATCCTGGTCTATAGAGAGAGTGCCAGGACAGACTCCAAACCCTGTCTCTAAAAGCCGGGGGGGGGGGGGGGGGTCTCTCTTTTTTTTTACCCTTTTTTTTTTTTTTTTTTTATGTTTTTGTGTTACTGGTTTTCTTCTACATCTTTTTTTTTTTTTTTTTTTTTTTTTGGAAGCATTGAGGCATAATTTATGAAAGGCCACATTGTTTTTGTAAGACTTAGAACTCTGTGCCTTAATTAGGGTCTCTATTGCTGTGAAGAGACACCATGACCACAGTAACATTTAATTGGGGTGACTTGCTTACAATTCAGAGGTGCAGTACATTATCATCATGGTGGGACATGGTGGCATGCAGACAGACATGGTGTTAGAGAAGTACCTGAAAAATCCTACATCCTGCAGGCAATAGGAAGTGAACTGTCTCATGGGGCATGGCTTGAGCATATATGAGACCTCAAAGCCTGTCTCCATAGTGACACGCTTCCTATAACAAGATCACAATAACCTCCTAATAGTGCCACTCCCTTTAGGGGCCATTTTCTTTCAAAACACCACACTATATTTGGACATTTTGCTCTAATCTTCCATGAAAAGCCGTTTAAGTTTTCAGAGTCACTTCTAAGTTTTGTAGGCCTTAATTTGGGGGACTATTTTGTATATGAATGTTAATGAAAATTAAAATCCATTGCCTATCACCCTATGAAAGTTGACAGTGGCTGTTGTTCATAGTATACTATGTTTTTTTGGTGATTCTAGAGAATAAACCCAGGCCCCTGAGCAGACAAATTGAATGCTGTACCATGTTGCTGTGAGGACTAATGACTAGAAACTTAAGTTATAATAGCATGAACAGGTGTGAACAGAATAATTATAGTTTTTCTTGCAATAGCAGATACAAAATGTATACATTTATTTCTTTCATCACTCTAAGTGTATGATAAAGTGGTCTTCTTTGTATATGTCCTTAGTGTATAGTGTTTAATCAAATGCTTTTATGTTTTCCTTACTTTGAGATGTTGTACATGTAAAATTATGTATTGAGACTGTTGACCACCTGGCTCATAATAGCTATCAATTGAGTCATTCTGTCAGCAAGTGACTCCTTTCATCCCTAATTAGTTACTGCTGC